GCAACTTACATTTTTCATATGCAATGTGAACATCCATCTTGCGAGAATAGTTGTATCGTGTTTACACTTTAGATGTCTCTAACTTTTGAATTTCGAAATAAATTAAGGTTAAGTTTGCCCGAGATATGCTATGATATGTCCAAATCAGTAGTTCTTTTGAAAAGGAAGAAATATGTTTAAAGGTCTCTCAAGAGGTCTATAAAGTGTGCGTATGTCTAAAAATCGAACTGGCTATCTCTTCTACGGGAGTTACACATATAGAATGAAGGAGGGGGATGATAAAGCGCCTGTATGCCAACAAAAAGGTGACAATTTCACAGAAAAGTGTTTACGCTTCAGAAAGTAGTTCTTGGACCTCTGTCCACCACTATGCGTAAAAGCACCTCTCTTCACTCCCAACTTTCTTTTCTTCCGTTCATTTAAGAAATTTTCCGCATATATTCTCGGTCGTAATTTTTTTTCTCTTCTTATTTTGCTATCTGTCAGAGGGGCTCGTTTTTGGCGCGCCAAGGGGGCGTATCTGCCAATGGCAGATTGGCCTAATGGCCAGTCCGAGTCTGAATGGTATTCACTTACTTTCGACACCTTTCTAGACCTCTACTCTGAATACAGAGTTTTTGTGAATTTTCCCATAGCGAAATAAACGAGAAAATTAAGGTACTCTATACTTCTCAATGCAATTAAGGGCATTAAACAACGAGAACATGGCGCCAGGTTACATCGAGTCCTTAGTCATCTTTGGTTAGATCTCGATTTCTCGATGATGTAAAAGTCCACGACACCTCGTATCTCGTTTGAGGTGTTTGAAAATCTCCGCTCTTAATGTATTTTTCTGTAGTATAACAAACCGACACCATTCCTTGAACTTTTTGCAGAATTCCCTTCGCACAGCGAGGGAGACTAATAGAAATGATTAAGACTTGTCATTGCGTAGTTTTCCGTTTAAAAAATTGAGTATGACAGAAAGCGTGCAACGTCACAATCCGTGAAACACAGTATACTTTTAACCAGACAATTAAAAGTCGGCACACTGAATCGCTATAATTTTATTGATATTTCAACTGATTCTATAAAATTTTACTCCATCCAATTCGAAACTTTCCAGGTATTGTGGGTTCAAATATGCCTCGATATTGCCTGTTTGGAGATACAGTAAATACGCACAGCATCGCGGATGGAGTCTACAGGCGAGGGTACGTGTGTTTTATCTCTTCTTATTTTCTCTCTAGGTTGATTACTTTAAGAATACCGTGAAATTTTTCATGACACAAATCGATCATTTTGTCTTACTCACTTTGTTTGTAGAAAAATTGAAAAATTTGGAATACCCCGCACACCCGCATATGGAATCTTGTCCCCACACCAATGCAATGTTCAATTTTTTTATTCCATTGCATTGGTCTATTGATGCTGAGTCTTAAGTCATAATTGAATAACAAAAAAAAAAAAAAAAAAGAAAAAAAAAGCGCTCCTTCTTATGGTAAACTTCCAACTTTACAGGGCCATCACTCACTCCCCCATTCAAATGTGACCCTGAAAGTTTTAGAGGAAATTCACAATGTCTTCCCCATTTATTATTTATTTTGCTAATTTCATCATCGTTAATCAATAGTGAGGATATTTCGCTCGGTTGATCCGATTTTTTTTTGAAGCTAGTAGAGACCACGTTAAGCAGAAAGAAACTAAGCCACATTAGCTATTGCCAAATTTAATCGGGCAACTTATTTTTTTACGTGACAACGGTTTTTGCGGATTTTCGTGCCGATGTCAGTGATTTTTTTGCAAAGTACGAAGCAAATTCCTTAAAAATTTCAAAAGGATTCTCATACGCGCTCTCTTGCAAAAAATTGAATTTCCCACTTAAATATGGCAATTGCTAATATGGCTTGGTTCCTAAACGCGGTCCGTGTATTAGAAGTCCCCTCGCAGGAACAAGGGCTAAACGGACGGAATTAATGAACGAAGAATAGGTCAACACGGCGCGGCGTCGCCTTGAATTTAGGAAAGGTTTTTTTCAGTGAAGGATAGATGAAAGAGAGAGAGAGAGCGAGCGAACGAACATTCATGCCCCTTCGAAGCGACAAGATTACGTTCGATTCTCTCGTGAATTTTTGGTCAGGTGTTAGTGGAAAGTGAGATAAGAAAAGGCGGGAAAGGGGGAAAATCAACGCTCCGCTCAGAATCGGCCCACCACACACTCAACCCGACCGGATACCCCGAATCAGTTCTGCCGACCAGTGAAGCTCTCAGCCACATCAGCTATTGCCAAATGTAATCGAGCAATTTGATTTTCTACATTAAAACGGTTGCACGGGTTTTTGTCCAAATTTCAGTGATTTTTTCTGAATAGTACGACGCAGAGTCCTTAACTTTTTCAAAAGAAATCCGCACAAACGATCTCTTCTAAAAAATTAAATTGCCCAGTTACATTTGGCAATATAACCCTCCTCCCCCCTGAGAGCCTTACGCAAATTTTGGACGGCCTCTTCGGTCATGACGTCGAATACTCTCACACTTTTTTTTTTTTTTTTTTTTTTTTTTTTTATTTTTATTTGCACGAATTAAACTTGTACAAAGGTCGCTAATAGACATACATAGATGTCTTTTAAAGCTTAATTAATCAATAAGTGTAACTTAACTATAATATATAAACATTTTATCTTATAAATTCTCAAAGTTTTAACATAAAAATATCATACTACCTCTGAATATTGAGGAGCTCTAAAAACATAATTATTCCTATAATAAAAATGTCTTTTTGTCGTAACTTTGTTTTTGTCTTTGTTTTATTGAAGACTACGGTCGACCGACACCGGCCGAAGACCTAAGCACCTCTGATCCGTCCGAAGATACGGGGAGGCACACTAGTATTATGGGAAAAATTTTGAAAAGCCCTGAATTCCAAGCTCATAGGGCTTACGTCTTTTCAACCTGCGATTACATCGGTCCCATTCCAACAGCGCAAGCGCTTTCTTGGTTGGGGTGACGATGTAGTCTCATCTCATACGCAGAGTACATCTTGGTGATGTAATTCTCTACAGAGTCAATATTGAGGTCAGCGCGAATATCTGCATTCCTCTCATACCACCGAGCTTTAGCAATACTTCTTAGAATCTTCATCTGAATGATTTCGATCTTATCTAAATTTGACTTGGCTGCACAACCCCACAATTGGCAACCATAACTCCAAACCGGCCTCAACATTGACTTGTAGAGAAGCAACTTTAGTTGTAGGGAAAGTCGAGATTTGCGCCCCAAGAGCCACTGCATATTAGAGAACTTCAGTCGCAGTTGAGAGACCTTTTTTTTAATGTGAGCGCCCCATCTGAGCCTGGAATCCAGGTGGAGGCCAAGATATTTTGCGATGTTATCGTTTGGGATTTTAACTTCTCCTAAAAGTAGGTGAATATGGGTAAATGGTCTATTAGTGAAAACAACCTCAACCGATTTAGACGCATTTAGTTTGGTTTTGTCTTTTTCTGTCCATTTATCTATTTTGTTTAAATGAGATTGAGCGTTAAAACGTGCCTCCCTGTAACTTCGAGACGATGTTAGCACGAGAGTATCGTCTGCATAAATGCCCAACTTTCTCCCCTTCCCAGACTGTGGGATGTCACTCTCACACGTTGAACCAGGCCCGCCACATCCCATCTCGGGTCCTGGTACCAGTTTTCAGGCTCGGGTACCCAGCACAGAGGGGGGCCGGGGGGCCTCCCCCGGGGAATTTTTGAAATTTTAAATCTATTTGGACGCATTTTGAAGCTCTTATGATGGAGATTTTCCATCACTTTCTATGCAGAATAATTAAGCCTTTTTTTTTACTTTCAACACCAAATACTTTCGAATTGTTGTATTCAAAACATCTAGAATTTTTTTTTTTCTTTGGGGGGGGGGGCAGATGATACTTTTCAATTCTAGGGGGATCCGGGCCCCCCTGGACTCCCCTTTCGTACGTCTATGGCAAGGGAGTTGAGCCATTGAAGTCGAGGATGCCCAGACAAGAGCTTCTTAGCATCCGACAACGGAAGAAAATGAAACGCAGTTACTAAAAATATCATTCTACATATACTCAAAATCTTGAAAATAGTAAGAAATCTATAAGAAAGTAAGAAAAATTGTATAGTGCCTTAGCGTGTTTTTGAAACTTTATTCACCTTTTGCGGAATTTTTAGGGTAATTTTTTCGCTGAGGTTTGGATCACACATCTGAAACTTCAGTTCTTACATCTGAAGTACTTTGGAAGAAATACGCCGAGTCAAGTATCTTTTCTTGTCAAAATTTTTGAAAGCCTACACGGAGAAAAAAAACTTCGTGCGTGGGACCCGCATTTTAGGTCATATGGATCTCTGAAGTTTTCGAATTGAGCATCCGAACAATTTAGGTCCAGCTGCTGAGGTTTGGATCACACATCTGAAACTTCAGTTCTTACATCCGAAAAACTTCGGTTTTCACATCCGAAAAACTTCGGTTCTCACATCTGAAGTACTTCAGATGTAAGAACTGAAGTTTCAGATGTGTGATCCGAACCTCGACAGCTAGACCTAAAGTGTGCAGATGCTCAATCCGAAAACTTCAGAGATCCATATGACCTAAACTTCGGGACCCACGCACGAGGTTTTTTTCTCCGTGTAAAGAGGTTTAGAAAATTGGGTTATTATATCGGAATGCGGGATCTCTTGGTTTTTTTTGTTGATGAACATGCATATTCATGAATTTCTTTCAATATTTTAAATCCAAGATGGTAGAAGCTCAAACCAAGTCTAAAAAAAATGAATTTGGAATGGAAGCTCAGAAAATGGGGTATGCAAAGGCTATCATTCAATGTTTAAATACATTTAGATTCCAATGTTGATATATGAGCGACATGCAAATTTACATTCATTGAACAAAATCGACCATTCAAAAGTTGTCAAATTGTGCAAAACAATGCTAAAAATATACTTTTTGGCACGATTTGGCAACTTTTCGGGGAAAATGTATAAATGAAGTTAACAATGGAATTTGGCGTCAGAAAATTTAATGAAATTATTTTAAAATTAAGACACCTATGAAATTTTACACGGCTGTGGCTGAGGAGGCTTCTGTAGCTAGTTAAACGATTAACGCTCCAGCCCTCGGATGACAAGGGAAAAGCTTTCGTTCCTGAAGAAGGTTTCTCATTGGAATTCTCTCTTCAGATAAGTGTGATTAATTTGGGGTTGAAGTTAAGTTAGTAATGGTTGTCTAGCTTAAACAATAATGACTTATATTTCAACGACTGAAAATAAAGAGCCTTTAAGATTAATTTGTATTCAAATAATTTCTACTAATCTGTTAGTCTTGCAGAAACGCATCGAGTATTATCTGGAGTGATACACGTATTAATTTTGGCAGTTTTTCATCGGCGAAGGGTTTGCCTAGACGGTGAGACTGGATATCATCGGACAGTTGTTTATGAAGTTGTTCGACAGTTTGTCCGAACTCTTCCGGAGAGTGAAAATAGGTTTCTAGGTCCTTCAAAATTCTTTCAGGGGGGGATTTCAAAGTTTTTTTCAGTTTTTCGGATGTCTCATTAGCTGCTGTGTTTGCATTCTTCTGATGAACTATCGCTTGCACTGTCTTAAAAAATTTGCTCCACTGATTGATCCTCTCCTTCTCTCCGAAGAGCTCACGAAATACAAGCTCTATCACATTCATACCAGAGTGTACGTCTACGATTTTCTGAAAACTCTGTAATGATGGACAAAATTAGGTCAGAGTTTTTAAAATGTGTTCTATTATAAAGAAATATAGATTATACGAACAGTGGCGCCCATCCCCTCCTGAAAACTTTTGAATCCATACGAGTCCACCTCCTCCCTAGTCGTAACTTATTCACCCTCCTCCCCAGGGGGTTCTGAGGCGTAGAGAATATCGCCAGTTGACGGGGGGTTTGGGGGGAGGCCTCCCCCGAAAAATTTGGATATTATGGGGCCATTTGAGGCAAATATTACAGATTTTCATTTAAATGCATACTATCTATTTTATTTTTTCTGGTGTGAAAAAATTAGCTTTGAGGCTGGTTCCACAAAGACCACCCAATGCACACCGACAAACAGAGTAATAGGCATAAATCGGTACTTGCCTAATCTAAGCGATAATTATTCTTGATTTTTAAATGCGGAGTTTCAGATCAAGGATCGAAGAAGGAGAAGCAAAGGAGAACGGCCTCTTGGGGGATGGTCAAAATGTAGGAGGAATCGGGGGGAGTAGCGAAAATTAGGGAAAAATACCAGAAAAAGTCTGGATCATTGGAGGGGTTTTCGCTGTTTACCTAACAATGATGTAATATTAAACACTCTTATATTGATTTCGAACCCAGATTTTTTTTTATTAATTTTCTTCATCAATATATAACTTGATACTCACCATTTCAGCCGTTTGATTTTCCAGCTGCATTTCAAGCTTCTTATTCTCCTCCTTTAAATGGTTCAGCTCGTTACTGTAATTATTTTTTGCACTCAAATACTCATCTACATGTCCAGTTAGATTTTTCACTGTTCTCCGTTCTTCTCGCAATGAAATCCTCAACCTCTCCTCTTCCGTTGACATTTGCATCTGTATTGATGATGATAAATTATATTAATACTGATCACTTTTCATTTTTCGTCGCCCCTCTGACGTAAGGGCGTATCTCTATTTCCAAATGAGCCCCGGGAAGCAAAGAGTTATACGGATACCAGGGCTTATGTGTAAATCGAGATACGTCCTTACGTCAGGAGGGTCGACGTCTTTTCTCTTGCTATTTTTTTTAAGAAAACTAATTTCAAGCCTCTGCCTCCTCTTTTCCTCCGATAATTTATGGATGAAGGTGTTCATCGTAAAATATTCACATAAATGTATACTTAGTGAATCAAGAGATCACATACGGTACGTGTATATCTTTCAGGAAGAGAGGATTTCAACTCGAATGACACATATCGACGGTGAAACTACCAGACCACGTATCTCGTTTGCAGTGTTTAAAAATCTCCACTCCTATTTTATTTTTTTGAAGGAGAACAAAACAGTAAAATTTCTTGAAATTTTCACAGAGTTTTCTTCGTAAAGAGAAGAAAAAATAGGGGAGTTTTCAAGAATTAACTTTGAGTAGTCTTCTATTTAAAAAATAAAGTATGACTGGAAATCTACAGCGTCGCTAACCGAGATACGTGGTCTGGTACTTTCGCCGTCGATATTCGTCTCAGAATTCAAACTGACGACAAACCCCTAATCTGTCGTTTGTGGAAAAATGTGAATTCCCCGCACCTAGCACCGCACTATTCACCTACTTTTAATAGTTCCAGCGAAAATTGATCCTACTCGTCCCAAAAGTTGCCTAACCATTGTGAAAAAAAATATTTCACTTTCACGGCGAGGGCATCGTTTGCCTACAAATTAATTTGTAATATGTTAATAGATTTTGCAGATACGGTTCAAACACGTCTCCTTAATCATAACTTTCTCGCTGTTAAATTGAAAGGAAGGTCCTGAGTTTTCAAGAAGGTAAAGAGGCACCAAAGGAGGGCTTGAAGAATGGACCATTCTAAATGACTTCAATTAATGAATAAGAAGTATCTCAATTTTTCGTTTAAGATTTTTACTTTCACGTATATATAGTACTTCAATCCACTATACACTTACCACAGCGGCTGTGAGGTTAAGCAGCTCGTTTTCCAGGAGAGTTTTATACATCCTCAAATTAGCCAAAGCATCGTTACACAAGTCTGTCCGTTCCAATTGGTTACCTATCGTTTCCAGGTTTTCATCTATCATTACTTTGTCTTTCTGGATCGAGTCTTTGAGTCGAACTATCCACTCCGCCAAATTGTGTTTACCATTTTGTAATGCAAGACTCAGCGTCTGGAAAACATGCACAGCTATTAAGCAAGAACTTATTAAAAATACGCTTAAACTATGTCTATAATGCCGCAATCACACGCTGAATTTAGCAGCTGAATGAGGAAGTCAACAGTCATCGCCCAACGGCTGAAATTTAGCAAATTCGAGTTATTTTCATCCAGATAATTATCAAATCTACTCGAATAGTTCAAACAAATTAAAAATTGGTCCGATGGTTGCTGAGAATCGTCGCTGAATTTTGCGCGTCAAGCGCAAAATTCAGGCATCGGGCCGATGACTTCCACGTTCAGCTCCCACATTCAGCGTGTGATTGCGGCATAAAAGAGAAAATTCTAAAGGAAAAATCGCAAAGATTCCAAAAATTCCCTCTTAATTACTTCGTTTTCGGACTAATAGTTACATCAACTCACAATAACATACCAATTGAATAACTGTGATGAAAACTCTTAAGAATACCAAATACATTATAGAGACCGCGGAGTTTTAATTGCGCACGTGATAACATTTGATCATTCACAAGTAAAGAAAAAACTTAAAAGTACTCCGAGTTACGTTACTTTATCGTTCGATCGCCTCAACTTTTCTTATCTTGTGTAATCCTGATATCAATCATCACTTCAATGGAGATCTTGTAGATAAAAAAATAGTTTTAACTTGTTTGATCGTCCATTTAATCGAAGATGCATTTTTTGACCTTTGAGGATTGGGAATGACTTTTTCATTTTCATTTGTAACTAATCATGCTCCTTACCCTGTCATAAAGCAAAGGCGTGGAGATTTACCGGAAATGAAGTAAAGCCTACTAAATTTACCCCATGGCTTACTGGTTTCATTTATGCCAACAATTTAATGTAACTATAGTATTTTATCAAAACTGTTTCGAAACCTCCATGATTGTTTACTTTACCTTAAGATGTAAATTCACAATAAACCCCAAGAAAGTATTAATCTCGTGGATTTTTGCTGGTGGTCAGTCTGAATGTAACAGTCCACGCATTTGTTTCTCCTTCAAACCTGTCAGCATACGTCCTGTGCAGTGGCATGACATGCGGTAAGTCGCCGCGGTAAATGAAGGCGAAAATTTAAACACGCATATTCAACTATCTCAAACGTGAATAGAAAGACATTTTTGCTGGTGGACTTTATTTTTGTGTGATGTTAAAGACTCATTGATCTTTGACACCATTTTCACTTCACGAGAATTTTTTTGCGTTTTCGTTTTTTCTCACAACCAAGCCATAAAATAGTCACATGAAAACAAAAGTTGAAGTAAAGTTACAAAAGAAATGAACTGCGCAAACTTTAATTCACAAATGCGAGTACCCAAGGAACAGCGATCGCGATAAGTTGCGATTTGATCTGAAAATGTATCGCGATTCTACAGACATCGGTTTATTTCAATATTATCGGATAAAAAATTGCGATTTCATTACATGAATTTGCGATCACGATTTTATCTACGGCAATTTATCGCAAAATAAACAAAAAATCGTAATAAATTGAGATAAAATCCCGATAATATAGAAATAATATTGCAACAGGATCGAGGATAATCGCTCAGACGTTGATGATCTCAACGATTTAATCGCCAAAAAATCATAAAAAAATCGCAACTTATTTTCAAAATATCCCGATTTTTCCGTTGAAAAATGCATCTCGACTTCTCGAGACGTCCGCTATTTTTGAGGTCAGTAGATTCTTTTCATTTAATGTTGTGAATGGCATCCAAGCAACGTCCATCTAAAATTTTCCGCGCTTCGATCCTAAATCTCTTCCGATCCCTCTCGGAAATATGATTGGCGCTCGGCGAGATCCCCTAAGCCGAGAATAAGGAGCTTTTGATGAAGTCCGCTACCCCCCTTGACCGCTGAAGTAGTCCCGGAGAAATTGTCCGGAAAATAATGAGTTCTAGCCCGGACGGTGATTGGAAAAAATGAGATAAAGCTGCATGAAAGGCGCCCCGATTTCCCGACGATTCGCACCGACTCCGTCAAAGAGGGAGTCTTCGCGGGAGCTCTTTGGAGGGAGAAGGCGGTTTTGTGTTCCCTCCAAAGTGGACCTCTCATTGCGTTTTGCTGATTAGCTCATAGATGGCATGGGATCGGGGATGGGGGGGGGGGGTACGTTGACAGATTGATTTTATTACACTGGAAAAAAAAAACACATTGGATCTAGAGTCCAGACTCTTAGAAACATCGACAAGAAAAAATACTCTTGATTCAAGCGGATTTTTCCTTGAATCGAAGAGTCAAGCCTCTTGATTTAAGCGGATTTTCATTTGAATCAAGGGTATTTTCTCTGTTTTTAAGAGCCTGGACTCTAGATCCAAGCAACTTTTTCTACAAGTGATACCTTTGCTTAAAAATCAAGAACCAAGCCTCTTAATTTGAGCGGACTTCCTTTCGATTTAAGCAAAAATCTTATTGAATCAAGAGTATTTTTTCTTGTCAATGTTTTCAATAGTCTGGACTCTGATCCAATGTGTGTTTTTTTTTTTTCCAATGATTCTCTCCGTTTGTTGCGAGAGGTCATATGGGGAAAAATGATCGTGGCATATTTTGTCGTGCGCTACGGAAGACCGCCGTATGAATATGCGAGAATTGCCAAATTGCCTTCGATAAAATGTTTATTTTTTCGGAAAGTTATGAATATTTTCCCTTTAGATTTTCAGGAACATCTGGTAAAATTGCGAACAATATAATATCAGAACATTCCAGTACGTTATACGAGAGCTTTATTAGCTTACGGTGTTCAGTCTAATGGTGACTGCTCAATTATTCGACGAATGAACGTATTGATGCTAAAAGGACCTATGTGCATAGGGATCACGTGCGACATAGTTCCTTTTAGTAAAAAATACATCCAAATGTACACGTCTCTACGTGCCATCTGATTCAACTTAAGTAGTGTCATCTATTAAGATGCAAACCCTAAACTTTACTAAGCTGTAGCGACTTAAAACCCAATTGAACTCAAATTAGATGGAAAAGAAATAAAGTAGAAATATTTATCCTTTAATAAGCTATTAAATTCAGTGTTATCCATCATATTCATATTGTGTTTTCTCCAAGCAATGCACATCTAATTCTGACAATGATATACGTTACTTTTTTTTGAATTTTTTATCGAAGTTAGACAACATGCATAAGTGTGACAAAGGGACGAGCCGTGGTCAAGACCGCATCCTCCCTTTCCGTCTGTTTAATGTTGACAAATCAACAACCCCTATTTTCCATCCCTTGTGCAAACCCTCGTTCCTATAATTGCCCAATTTCCTACGGGCGCGTGCCGCAATTGATACTGAGTGAGTATCAGTTCAAGTGACGCAGGGGCGAGGAACTTTCAATATTTGGGTATAGATTAAGGGTGACGCAGCCCTTCATTGAAGTAAGAAAATCGCGCATTTAATTATAAATGTAAAATATTTTCTGCCCAAGTGTCATCCACCTATATATTAATACATGCATTAGTTTTTTTGTTTGACAAAATAGTGTCTCAACCGAAAAACCAGTAAAAACTTAACAGTATAATCTTTCTGATTTATAAGCTGGTTTCCCTACCTACCTCCTTTTCTCCTATTGATTTCTTTCTAGCTTTTCTCTCTCGAAATTGTGTGCGATCATATAATTCCTCCTCTTCTCATCCTTAATTTGCCTCTTCATCTTTTTTAATACGTGTCCAAAATTTTTAATATTTATTACTTTTTCTTCTAATATAAACCTTGAAATCCGGAATACTTATTTAAAAGATGTTCTTATCAGAGATGTAAATAGGAATTACAATAAGATAGGCACCTCTTGAAATAAAACGTACGGGAGAGAAAAAATTTCTCTCCTTAGCATTAACTAATTGCTCAGGAGAGAAAACATTTCTCTCCTAAGCAATAACTTATTGTTTCGGAGAGAAAATATTTCTCTCCGGTGCAATTACTCAGTGCTCCGGCGGGAAAACTTTCCTTCCCCTAGCAGTAACATTACGTTAAAATGAACTATTTTGCCATACCTACTTTTTAATAACAATAGTTTACTATCGGAAAATGCCGTTTTCAAGAACTAATTCGCCCTGTTTTCTATGAATGGCTGAAATATTGTATTATTTTATCCTTCCGAGCGTGCTGTCTTGATGTCAACGCCCTTTTGCGTTCGGTGCAAAATGGTGTATGTGAGTGACACAGTTACATAGTTCCGAGTTAGCCAGGTGCGTAATCCAGCAGATGTAAGCGTTTATGCAACTAAGCTAAGGGTTTTGAGCAGTGGCAAGACGTGTATGATCGAATATCGATATTTCCCCATTTGAAGCCGTGGTAAAGAATCGATTATTGAGGTGTTGGTTGTGAACATCTTGTTTATCGATCCTTCTTCATAGGTTTAAATGGTGGATGAATCGATGTATCGTAAAGCACGCCACACCACGCCGCTAGTCTTGAGAGGAAGCCTTTCGTATCCTCCTGTATCATTTTTCATCTAGAGCGACAAGCTCAGGTCTCCAGACGCTGCGAGTTTTCTATGTCACAACGTAAATTTGTTTCTGAAGAGAGAAGAATATGTTCCTCGTAAAATAATGTCGCGTATGGAACATTTTTTTAAATATGAAGCTCAACGGATTCTGTTTTATCACTGTGCAAAGATCGCACAGATGACCTTTAAGTCTCTGATTGACATTTTTAAAATATGCGTTTTGAACATAAGGCAATCATTTACACGCTTTATAAATACAGTGATGATCTCTGGGAGGATAGGGGGCAATGGCGATTGGGCGTCGCAGAGCGCGAGGCGGCGCTATAATCGCGACTTTATGTATGTATAAATACAGTTCATCAAACTTGTATGTAACATGCGTAAATGTAGAGCTTTACACACTGATAAAACATAATTGAAGCAGAAAAAAACTTTACCCAATCTCAAGGTAGCAGTAATTTTCCCCCAAAAGTATTTTCTGCACGTACTTGAAATATGAATGGTTTTATTTATATAATTTTGCACATGTGTAATACGGAACGAATATATTTTATGGTCTAGTTGACTGACTTTATCTTAAGAATAAGCTTCAGGAAAGATTTTGGATCGTAAATCGTGTTTAACCCGAATCGTTTTATCAGCAGTTGGGTGGTTGCATCTCAATGGGAGAAAATATAAGAAGGAACAAAGTGGAATCATTATTTAATGTATGAAAAATTTCGAATATTTTTTTACGTTCGTTTAAGGCCTCAATGATGCTATCCAACTGTGCCAACATAGTTTCAACAAATTTCTTCCATTAATACGCAAAACTTTGAGCTTAGCATGCGCTTGGTAAATTCTCCATGACCAGGACCACGGGTGAAGTCACAAAGTTAAAATTATATGTGTCTGAATAGCCGAATAAGAGAATCACCATCATAGATATAAATAGCGTGTGAAATTATCGTTTGCAATATCTCATACGGCTCCTCGTTCAATTCGTCCCGCATATACCCATGGCTGACGTGTATTGACCCTATAAACAAAAAAACAAAAAAAACTATCCGTCGCGATGGTCGAGAAACAAATGAATTCAAATTGGACAGCGGCTATCACGAAGAAAAAAA